CTCTTGTGGACTTAAGTCATGATCCTGATGCTAGTCCACAAGAAGGACTGAAACGTTGATCTTCTCTTAAATATTTCAATAAAAGTTACATTTATATATATTATTTATTTATTTTTTTATTGATACATTTCTTCTTCTTCAAAATATTAGTTCTTCTAGGGTAATTAAATTATATAGTAACGCATACTCACACACAGACACAGACAATCTTACTGATGCACACAAATAGGCTCATTGACAGACAAGCTCAATGACACACACAGACAAGGTTACTGGCACACACAAATTTAGTACAGACAAACTCTGATACACGCACAAGCTTACTACAGACAAGCTGTCACACACACGCTCACTACAGACACGCTCACTGATGCGCACACACTCTCCCTACAGACAAGCCCATTGACACACACATGCTCCCTACAGAAGAGCTCATTAACACACAGATTCACTACAGACATGCTCACTACAGACAAGCTCACTGACACACATATGGTCACTACAGACAAGCTCACGATACACACATGCTCACCACAGACATGCTCCGACACACCCATGCTCCTTACAGACAAGCTCATTAACACACACACACACACACACACATATTATTCCTACAGACAAGCTCACTCACTAGCAGGCACACACACACACACTCACTAGCAGGCACACACACACAGAGGCTCCCTCACTACCAAATGCGCATGCACACACACACACACACACACACAGAGGCAGACAGTCACTGACAACGAGGAAAACATCCACACATACAAAGACAGGCAGACAGCCACACACACACACACAGGCAGACTGTCAAACACACAGGCAGACAGCCACATACACAGGCAGACAGTCACACACACACAGGCAGTCAGACACACACACACAGGCAGTCAGACGCAGACAGTCACTCACACGCAGGCAGTCACACACACACACAGTCACAGGAAGTCACATGCACAGTCACACAGTCACAGACAGACACACACAGTCACACGCACACAGTCACACAGGCAGTCACACACACACAGACACACAGTCACACACAGACAGTCACACACACACAGACAGTCACACACACACACAGTCACAGGAAGTCACATGCACAGTCACACAGTCACAGACAGTCACACACAGACACACTGGCCTCCCCTCCCCCTAATACACTGCTGACCCCCCTCCCCCTAATATACTGCTGTCACCCTCCTCCCCTAATATACTGCTGACCTCCCTTCCCCTCCCCAATACATTCCTCCCCAATACATTACTGACCCCTCTCCCCCCAATACATTACTGACACTTCCTCTCCCCTCCCAATACTACCCTCCCTCCCCATACATTACTGACCCCATTACTGACCTCCCCAATACATTACTGACCCCCTCTCTCCTCTCCCCAATGCATTACTGCATTACACTCCTCCCTCTCCCCAATACATTACTGACCCCTCCTCTCTCCTCTCCCCAATACATTACTGACCCCCCTCCCTCCCTAATATCCCCTCCTCTCCCCAATATATTACTGAGCCCCCTCCTCCCCAATACACTGACCCTCCCCCAATACAATAGATCCCCCCAAGCCCCTTTATTCTTACCTTTCCAACAGCTCAATGTTGCAGGAGGGAAGAGAGGCCGCGATCTAATCGGAGTAGGTACGGCCGCCGCGCAGCCGCAGGATGTGACGTCATGTTGTCATTTGCCGCTCACATCCGGCGGATGTGGCTGCGCCGGCCGCATAGGCGAACAGAATTTTTTTTTTTTCATGTCTTGTAGCTGAGTGCAGCCACATGTCAAAGCGGCCCCAGGGCTGGCTGCCTACCGGGAAATTTCCCGGTATCCTGGTAGGCCAGTCCGGCCCTGCCCAAAAGTACCCCCAAAATAAAGGGAAACCCCACATCCCTGGATAACTTGGATCTCAGTGAGCAATATATCCAAAAATCACCCAGATCCGTTTGCTAGTTTTGAATCGCCATCGCAAGGAAGTTCTGACTGGTCTGCCACGAGGAGTAAGCCCAAAATAGTTAAATGGAAATGGTGGCAAGAGCCGGTCTCCGTTCATGGGATTTTGTACGAACACCACATAAGATAAAGGAAAACTGGTTCATGTAGAATGCTCCCCATGTTCGTAAGTCTGTAACTCCCGAACGCCATTCATATAGGGTAACTGGAACTGGGACGAGCCGTAAATCCATGGTGACCGGTGTTCGTGGGAGTGCCTAGCCAAAATTAGTTCCAGGCACTCGATGACCAAGTCCCGCTGCCAGCGTTCGGGAGACAAGATGGCCGCCATCCATTGTTTCAGCCACGTGCGTTCATATGTACGAAATGGCGGCCACCCAGTGGAGCATTCTATTAATGATTTCCTTTGCGGTATTCATACAGATACATAATGTTCTATGTTCTAATTGGTTTCCGGGGTGGTCTCCAAAATAAATAAACAAAATGAATATAGAAACAAACAAAATAATTGAAAGGAGCCGAAAGTGATGGGGATATTCCTTCACAGTGAGTATCTCACATTAGAGTGATTTCTTGTTTTTCTGCTCGTGGCACAGGGAATTGTTTTGTGAATATAGAAGCGCCAACAACTTTTGTTTAACTTTTATAATCCTTGGTAGACTTAATACTTAGGCAACAGTAACAATTCACTTCAAACACAAAAAGCATAATTTAAATGATCTTGGTTATTTATACTTGGAATTATAAGAATAAATGATTTACTTTTTTTACCTAGAAATCTAATTGCTATTATCTTGAGAAGCGCCCACCACTCAGCCCTTTGCACAACAGGATCGATACCGGGATTGAACACCGAGTCAGTAGATGCCTTTCCTGCATACACCGAGGTCTGGCAAATTAAAACGCAGACCCAAGGCCTACCAAACACCGACCATCCACGACTTGGAGAACCGAATCGGCGGAGCCTACATACATGGTGACTCCAACCCGGACAACGACTTCTACCCATACCAAATCAAAACACCTAAGACCACGCGGAGGCGCACACAAAAGTCTCACCCTGGACCTTCTACAGAACAGCACGACATTGGCGCCTTATTACAGCAGCAGGCGCAACCTAAAATGGCCCCCTCTGACCAGATGCCATCCCACTCACCGGCCCACTCATCTACTCAAACAGACACAGAAATCACGATGCCAGCAACCACTGCAGCGCCGGATGGCACCTCACTTGCTACCAAGAAGACCTACAAAACTGGGTGCAGGACATACAGCAATGCTGGCTATAGATGTCGGACTCTTAAAAGTGTCCAGCCTTGTGTGAGTGACATAGGAAGACATCATGGACATACAAATTGGCTTGACAAACGTGAAACACACAATACATCAACTGCAAACCTCACAGCAAAGTCTAACACTGCAAATGTCCACTCATAAAGACTGCGCTTGACGCAACCAAAAATCTGAGGAATACCCGCTGACATACAAGCTGACGAACTACCACATTATGTAAGGAGACTCCTAGCCACCATCCTGCCACTGGCAGATAGCTGGAAAATTGTGTTGGATGGCCTATACCGACTACCAGCTACTCCCAAGGTACCCGCTGCAGCTAACAGGCATGTCATACTGTGCTGTGCCACCTCTCATGATTTGAACCCCATTATGTCCGCAACCCGAGGTAAAACTCCTCTTACATTTGAAACGGCCCAATTATCATTCTTCCAGGACTTAACCCAAGCCACATTGCAATGGCGCAAGTCGCTGAGCCACCTCACAAGTCACCTACGCACAATAGGAGAGCCTTACCGCTGGGGAGCACAGAGATTCCTGTTAATTACCCACAATGGAATCACCCACAAGATATCCTCTGAGATGGAGGTACCCGCACTTCTAGTAAAGATGGGACTGCCAGACATACCTGCCAACATACCCCATCAGACGCAGCCTAGATATGGGACCCAGCCAATACCGCACCATTCATCCCACGACTGACGGCATCTACGAGCCCAACGACCTGACCGGGACCGGAGAGTCTACAACCCCAGCAGTCCTAAACAACCAGTCGGCACTGACAGGAGCCAGTGAAAGTGTTCTCTCATTTCATTATATTACCTGTTATGAAAAGTTTGAATGTATTGTTTTTCATTGCCCTTGTATAGCTTCCACACAGGTCCTTAGTTCATTAAACACTATGACACCACGACCACACTTCACCTCCCCCCCCCCGCTATCCCCTTGGTTAAGGCCCATCTGAACCACTCCACAGGGCCACTCCTGACATCCAATTGGAGGATACGCACACCCAACACCCCCCTCACTCGCCGTTCGGCGAAAGTAAATACCCAGAGAGCTGTCCCTTTAACACATGCCCAGGTACCAAAGGCACACTCTCGCCCTAACCAGCCATAACTTTCGACTCCCCAGGTACTACAGGGCAAGCTGGAGGGCGGCTCAGATAGGTCGCAGGCTCAAGTTGAGCGCATATTACGGTCCTCCTCACACAGGTGTTCCCTTTCTAACAGTTTAAATTTTTTTTTTTTTTCTCCTTAATCTTAAATTAAACACATTTTATATTATATTTTACAGTTTACACCACCCTCCCTCGCGTATGCGCTCAATTTAACTCCCGAGCCTGAGTACTTGCCGAGCCCGGACACCTGATCAAGCTCAGTTCCTTACACAAACACCCACTGGATACCACCCAGGTTAAACAGCCTTGTTCTTATAATGTACAGGCCTTTCATCAAACATCACGTCCCAATGGATACAATAACCTCATTGACTGTGAGATAGCCGTTTTCTCCTACTCAGGCCATTACTACATCAAATTATACTACATAAAATGTGCAGACAGCTCATCATTGTTATGTTGATATATAGATTACCCATCTACTCAGTTACCAATTAATGTCTTGAATGACTAACTATTGTTTATCTTCTGCACAACAAAAGTAAAGAATTATATTAAAAAATAAAAAATTAATTACCAGTCACTTTTTTCATGAATGCAACCTTATACCATAAACCTGTCATTACAAAATACCAAATAGGAACCGCACTCAATCCACATAGGGTATAGGTGCTAAACCAGACCATGGGTCAGCACAATCCCCACAAATGGAAAATTTCAATAATGGAGAAAATGTCCAAGCACTCAAATAGTTTCAAGCACAATTATTAGAACAAAACAAACACAGCATCTTTTCGACCCAAAATTGGATCTTTGTCTTTCTGGATCGAAACGTTCCTGCGTTTATATTGTTCTAATAAATGTGCCTGTAACTATTGGAGTGCCTGAACCTTTTCTCTATCATTAAAATAAGCCTACAATTAAACACATTTATATTTGTATAAATGTCATTTTATATATAAACGCTTTCAAATCTTCACATATATATTATTATTTTTTTTCAGAGGCAAAGAAATAAGCTATTAATTTTCTGAACTTCCCTTTTAAAGTTTCACAAATATTTACAAGCATGTCAAGGAGAAGTGACAAAGTGTGGCAATTGGGGAACGATCAACAGATCTAGAAGAAATGCAGATTTGATTCTTAAGAAGTCTTTAAAATTCAGGAGTGGGTGTGAGCTACTGACTCAAGCAAAATCCCACTTCTGAAAGTACTGGAGAGAAAACAATCTCAGCTCTGTTTACCGACTAGAAGTCATCATGCCTTGCCAGTCCAATTTTCTGACACCAAAGAAGAGATATATTTTATTGACTGTGGGTATCTTCATTTTAATATTAATCATTGTGGCATCATGTGTCCTTGGTATATATTTAAAATCTCAAGAAGAAACAAAATCCTGGAAAGGAAATGGAACTTCTAAAAATATGCAAGAAATTGTCCTTGGGAGATGTTACGACTATTTGGCAAAAAATCCAGATTTAGGGTAAGATGTACTATAGTTTACATTATCTGATATTTTAATGATATATTAATTTGGTTGTTATGTCACACTAGACTGAAAACTGTGTATCTTTAGCTTATTGTTGTAAGTGTGCGAGCTCGTTTGGATGTCAAGCTGGGGAATAACTATATATTTACTCTTTCAAGATATAGATTCAGTCAATAGTTATGTAGGTGTCATCAAAGATGTATTTATGAAGTGACAATGTCAACATTTTGGTTTGTAGAACCATACATAAAAGAAGTATTCTTCCAAAGGAATTATATACTCTGCTACTTTTTTACGGAATGCATTTTACTGTTTTGCACAACTTTGTTGAATATATTGGTGGTTTGTATATACTATCTGGGTTATTCACTAAAGAGAATTAAAGGACAGAGTAGCTGAACGGAAAGCATAGATTATAGATGTTACGGTACCTCCAGTAATGAAATGTATAAACCGCCGTTTAGTGAGTATTCCCCGTTCGCAATAATGTAGGCTGGTAGCGGGTATAGTAAAACCATGCGAACCGCCAGCTGGGGAACACTCCAAACTCCCGAACGGTACCTGTACGGCTATTTCCCTCCACGAGCTCCAAATCCACGAACTGCCAATATTAGCCGAACGCTAATACCTTCCAAGCGGCAAATATTTCCAATCAGCAGTCTCTAAGCGTCGGTAACCAAATCCCCCCAATAACGAGACCAAGCTCCGCTTTGAGGGTAAAACACGAACTGGTTTACTGTGGGCTACCTGCCCGGTATTTATGCAGGTCTCCCACTTGGTGGACACTCCCCTAGGGGACCAAATGGGAGACTGAAATCACAGAGGGACATGGGGACATTCTGGACATACATCCCCACAATATTCCCAGCATGCAGTACAGTTCCCTCCCCTCTGCTCGGGGAATAATTGGGAAGTAATTCAATTATCTCCCCGAGCAGAGGCAATCGCCATTTTAGATACAAGTTATAAAAACACACAAAAATCCATAACTTAATAACTGCTGAACATTTTACATCAGTCTTGCATATCCCCAGATAGCCTGGATCTGAGGGCACATTATTGGAGAATAGCGCTCAGATCCCATTCGCACAGTTCAATCGCCATGGAGTCAAAGTCTCTTTCAGTTCTTCGGTATGCAATTGACTCCATGGGACGGCTATCTGGGTTAAGTCCATTCGTGTGGTTGAATCTCCCGAACGGCTGGCATTCGCATACTTTTGTCGATTGAGAAGGGGAGGTCGACGGCTTCAGCGGTGTTCGGCTGAAAAAGTGTCCGTTTTCCGATCCATGAAATAATCGTTGAACACCGCTGGTCGTTCGCATGGACAAAATGGCCGCCGCCTCGTGGTCGACATACGAACGACGACCACCCGGCATTCGGTTTTAATTGAGAAGTGTCTGTGGTTAACCGCAACGTTCTAATTGGGATCAATAGGTTAACCAGCAGCACACTTCTCTTCTGGGTGGCCGTCCGTTCGGTAGTTCCGTTCGACAAAACCGACATTCCCTTAAACAAAGCATACGAACGGGGAAATTCATGAAAACGGCAAAACAGACGAACAACGCAGTTATAATCCAGACAGATGGGTCTGTCACAATAGAATTTTCCCAATTCAACTAATTTGCCTTTAAATTTGAATTTCACTTTATTGAATAACCCTGTAAATGAGTATTACTCCACACATGCAGATACAATGCTTGCCAGATGTGGAGGTCACTTTCCTTCCACATCTGTGACCAGTTTGAGGATCACTGACCTCTAGGAATATATAAGGGATTGTAAAACATTATCTTTCCCAAGGTAGAGGGCTCATGACACAATGGAGAAAGCTCAGAGGCCTGGGACAGCATAAATTTTCTGGAAAAAACACCATTCAATAAACACTGTAGCGTTAGGAATACAAACATGTACATGCACTCTTCACTGCTGTTCTGTCTCTTTGGCTGAGAGTATTAATGTTGATGATCTCAGTCAATCCAATGTTTCTCCATAGAGAAACACAGGGAGGCTAGTGCGCATGCGCGGCAAAACACCTTCTTGCGCCATTAAGATGAAGAGGTTTAACTGTGTATTTTCATATAAATATATTGTAACGATTTAGCAAATTGCATCACAATCTAGGTCATTTCTGGCATAACCAAGGCACACATCGCATACGGATAGACTAAACAAAAACATGACTTTTTTGCTTCTCCTCCTATCTCTAGCTCTCCCTATGTTAACTTACAAGTGCAGAGGTTACTTATAACTGATTGAAAGGGAGCCATGATAGAGATTTTTTAGTTGATACAATCCATACATTACTGTGGATTTCTGCATTTGATTTTTATTTTGCTAAATTGAGAAAAACACATTAAAAATCCTGCGGAGTGACCGTTCCCCGTAAAGGTGAAATTACACCTATAAACCTCTTAAAGCACAAATAAAACAAACACTGCAAAATTTTCAGTACGTTCCGTGAAATATCAAACAATACAGTTTTAGAAGGGCAGCAATCCCTACAGACACCAATGGAACGTTCATGCTGATTATTATGGTCCATAACCCCCATAAGGTTTTGAAAGAAGTCTGATCAGTGAGGTCAGAGGTTACCACTGCACGAATTCTGCTCCACAAGAGTTAGATCACTGAATAGCTAAACCATTCCATGTGTTTCTGGAGAAAAGATATTCAAACTACATTCATTTAAAGCTTCTTTTGAACGATGCATCAGTATTGTGTCTAATAAGGAGAAGGGCTAAATTAATTCCCTGCAGCACACAAGGCTCCGTCATTCAGCGTGTCCATCTGGAGGCCCTTAGGAGGTAGAAAAGAAAGATGTAGATGTACCCTTCCCTCCTTCTTTGTTGCAACCAACAGGGCAAAAACTTGAAAACGAGAGAAGTCTCAATATAAGCTGAAGCTTCTTAGGAGTTTGGGCTGTTTAGTAAAATATTTATGTTGGAAAAGATTTTTTTCCCCCCACTTTATCATTCTAGATGAGAATACTTGCATAACTCTGGAAAGGTGTGTCTATATTTGGAAATCTAAGGAACTTAACTATGGCAAATATTGGTGCCTGTATTTATATCCATGAAATAGCGGCCTCTCACCCAAAGATGTGTTGAAGATGTGTCAGATTTAGTCAACTTTATATAGTGCTCCCTTGTATTTTACAAAGAGGAGCACACTAAATTAAAAATCAATTTTAATCAATACATACTGCAATATATCATATGGAAATACACACAAAATATATGTAACGGGGTTTTGGGGGTGCCCCCTAGTGTCTTTGGGGTCCCCAAACCTAGTTAACTCACTATGCCTGACAGGCGGATCCTGAGCCTCCGCTATCTGGGAGCTGGGGTACATGTCTGCGGCAGTGCCTCCACCCAGTGGAGCATCCGGGGTAGGGATGTGGGGTCCCACTGGGAACATACTTGGTGCAATGAGACTGACACAGTCTAACTGGGACTAACTTTATATGGTAAGTAGCAATTGAACCAACATACATAGGAAAATACAATAGAGTAACACAGATAACAATGCAAATGTGGATTTCCCTCACTCACCCACCAGCACACCTGCGCCCCACCCCCTTATCTTCGCCCTAGCGGCCGTTGGTGCACATAGGAGAGTTGGGGCCCTTATAAGTCCTGCTTCACAGGGTCACTGAAGCAGCCTCAGATGTGTAATGTCCGTCACGGGACCTCAGAGTCTTTACTGTGAGTGAGGAGACAGGTGCCCTGTGGTGATACAGGGAGAGGCTTGGCTTACCCTCACAACACGATTAACCAGTCAGTCAGCAGCAGTCTCCTCTCACTGGATTCGCCAGACGTCTGGACTCAGTGCTTGTCTTCTTTCCTTTCCTGCAGGTCCCTCTCTCAGCTGGTGTGATCTTGGGTGAAACAAGTTCTCTCAGCCAGGCCCTATCTCTGTGCTACAGTCTCTCACATGTCCTCTCTCTGGCTCAGCATGTGGTCACTCTTAGAATCCTCCTCCCTCAGAGCTGTGCAGGAAGTCCTGACAGGCCCTGCGATGATGCCACACTCCTCTCTTGATTTCAGCCAGTCATGTGATCAAAGCTCAATGTTTTATTAACAGCATACTGAGTCCATGTGCCATCTACTGGGCATTTCAGATAATGCAGCCTGTGTAACTTCACGGGCTACATATAAAAGACATACAAAAACTACACCACAAACAATGTATATGTTAAACACAGATCTGCACAACAGTCAAGCCATAAGCCTTGCTTTTCCCACATTAACCTCACATTTGCAGTGCTGTTACTACTGCAAGGGATTCTGGGTGGGCATTTGTAAAAGAGTTCAACAAAGAACCAAGTTTCTGCCTCATTATAACACTTTAAACATAGATTCCTAGAAGTATACAGTACGTATACAACAGCTTTGAAACACAACTCCGTAAGAGGCACAGGCCAGTGAACAACGTATGGACAGCTGTTTCATTGTTAATGCAACTCACAGTATGAGGTTGGTTACTGGCTTGCTATTGAGGCTTGGCGTTACTTGCAAAGCACAAACCAATAGAGTTAGTGTGGGGAAAGAATTCTATTGGTGTTTGCTCCGCAACTAACTCCGAGCCTCAATATCAAGTCAGTAACCAACCTCATGCCTTAACAACGAAACAACTGTCCACAAGGGGTTCACTGGTTTTGCACCTCTCATTGAGTTGTGTTACAAAGCTGCTGTATACAGCAGACATTCACTCCAGTTAATCCATACTTAAAGTGGAATAATGAGGAAAAAAGTTTTTTTTTTTTTGGTTGAACAAATTTGCATAAATCACTTGCAGTAGTAATATAACTGCAAATGGGAGGTTTCTGTGACAAAAACAAGTCTTATGGTTTAACTGGTGTGCAGATCTGTGTTTACCAATGTATTAACTATCCACTGACTTCAGATGGACAGAGTTTTCAATCACTTTTTTTCCTCACCATAACTCCATTGGTTTTGTAATCCGTAACAATCTATCTGTGAGACAGAAGGAATATCAGAGATTTAAGCAGGATCTTGACCCACCTCTTATGTAAGGTTAAACAACCAGCAAAAAGTGATATATAAAGACATGAAGTAGAAGTAAAAAAAATCTGAAAACATCCCAAAAAATACTGGTGAAACCATGAATAGAGAAGAGCGAGAGGACACCAAAAAATACCCCCCACATTTCAGCTGTGAGCCTTTCTCAAGCCTTAAAGCTCTTAGTTTGTATATACCAAGGTTCTCCAAGTTCTGGCCCTCCACATGTTGCTGAGCTACAACTCCCATGATTCTTTGAATGACATAGCCAGAGAATCATGGAAGTTGTAGTTAAAGGACCACTCTAGGCACCCAGACCATTTCAGCTTAATGAAGTGGTCTGGGTGCCAGGTCCAGCTAGGGTCAACCCATTTTTTCATAAACATAGCAGTTTCAGAGAAACTGCTATGTTTATCAATGGGTTAAGCCTTCCCCCTAATCCTCTAGTGGCTGACAGCCTGCTGCTAGACAGCTTGCGTGCGCCAACAGCATATGCATTCTGCTTTGCTGTGCCGGCCTAATCAAAGAGCGCTGGCCCGGGAGGATCGGAGGAGGAGAGCTCCCCGCCCAGCGCTGGAAAAAGGTAAGTTTTAACCCCTTTCCCCCTTCCAGAGCCGGGCGGGAGGGGGTCCCTGAGGGTGGGGGCACCCTCAGGGCACTATAGTGCCAGGAAAACGAGTATGTTTTCCTGGCACTATAGTGGTCCTTTAAGCAACATCTGGAGAAAGAGAGTTTGGAGAACCCTGGTATATAACATTGATGTATTAACACCGGGGGAACGGGATGATGAAAGAGCACTTAGTTCGTAGGTACCAATTTTTCTTGATTCACGCAGTGTGCCCTCCATGTTAATTGCTTATAAATGCTCACTTGCATTTTAACAGATTTATTTGGGTATATCCAATATCAACTGAGTCCTACAAATGATAGCATAGCATCCTGGGCGTTGTAGTTTTGCAAAAGCAGGAGAGCTTGCAGTTTTATATTTAGACTTTCCAGTTCGTGGAAAACATAATAACCTCGACAATCTTCATTCACAGATAATCATTTGCTTAATTGCGACCAGCTGAGTTGCAAAACAGTGAATAGACAAACCACGATTAACAAATTCCTCTAGCTTCTAGATTAAAGAGAGCCATCCGATAAGAAGAAAATTACTACTCTTGTTACTCCCCATAAAAACAGCAGGTATTCAGACCATTAGGTCAAGTGAAATCTGTTCCCAAAACAAAGCCTTTAACCCTTCGGGATAAACGTTAAGCACATCCTTCCAGCATTAACAAAACCTGAAATATTATAGAGGTTTCAATGTTGTGATGTTTGGAGCATTTTATAAGATGCCATCTCTTACGCTGAAAACAACAATAAAGCATTGTGGGTAAGCACATTTTTTTCATTGCTATCCAACATTCTACATACTCTATACTTTCTTCCTATACAGTCTCCTCCTTCTATTATTTTCCTCACTAGGCCTCCCGTTCCAGGCTGGTTCCGGCATGCTGTAACCATAGTTCATACATTTAGTCTTTGTGGGCCGTTGATGTGTGCATATCAAATTAAAATTTCTCTCTCTCATTCCTTGTTGAATTGCATTCACCATTTGGAAAACTAAAAGGAGCTGCTAAGGAGGTATTTGATTTGTTTATTTATTTATTTATTACTAGTATTTATAAAGCACCAACAGATTCTGCAGCGCTGTACAATTAGTGGAGGACGTACAATATACACAGACAAATTCAAGACCTTTTAATCACTGGTGCTTTTTACAAAACCATTTCTGCATTGTGTGAAAATATATTATCTTCCTTCAGTTTTTCTTTCTGCTTTTTTTTTTTTAATTATTATTAATATTGCTCCCTTTTTGTTTGTTTTTTACTGATGATTTTACCATTGATTACATTCCCAAAATAAAACAGATAAGAAATATTCCTAGAAAACTAAAGTGCAAATATACATTAAACTAAACAGAAAAATTTAGCAAGACAAATTGTCGGAAATAAAAGATGCACTTTTGCACATACCTACACACAAAAAAAACAAACAGGAAAAAGAGTTGACACAAGAAGCGTAGTTAGGAGTCCTTTGGCACAAATAAGGGTCTATATCTGTTCATATAGGAAAAAAAAACATAAAAAACCCACATAAAACTGAATGCAGCACTTTCTCCCATTGTTTCTTATCAGGGCAAGGTTTCATGGAAATTAGGGTAATATTCTTCCTAGATTGTAATGATTTACTTAAATACTAGTGAACATTGATACAAAGAACAAAGAATATTGTATATACAGTCATTAAAGTGCACGTGAAAATATAAATTCAGTTGTATCAGGGTGGGTGCAGGTTTCACTTTATAAATTAGATGAAATATACTGAATTGCACGGTGTCCGGTTATACCATCAACCATTAATTAATACAACCAAGAAGTTTGTTCACTAAACAGTGAGTTGTGAACTGGTTGAAAAAGCTCAATTGGTAAAACGGTCAACTCAATTCATGTTTTAATACCACAATGTTAGTCTAAAGATTGCTGGCTTGTTTCACAAATAAACTAGTATATAACTAGCATGTTTGTATTGAATACATTAAAAAAAAAAAAAAAATACTTGTTAATTCACGTTTAACTTCATTTTGTTGTTTAATCTTTAGCGAAAGGGATTGTAATAAAATCTGGCAAGAGCTGACGAATGCGGTGTACAAGAAAGACCCGTGCTCAATTACAGAAGACAACTACAACAACTTAATAAAACTCACACAAGAAGCAATACCATGTAACAAGGTAGGAAACATTTCTTAAACTTCAGCTAAGCCAAACCAGCGATTAATCTATTTAAAGAAAAATGTACCCATTTATTTTGAATAAATTGGCTATAAACATTGTTGAACACAAAATCACATGCTATTTTTTCACATTTGGGGGACAATATATTCCACTCTTTATATGACTATGCAATTAAGAATGAAAGCTTTCCAAGCAGTGGCATAGCAGAGAGGGGTAGTCCATCAAGTGTGGTGGAGAATTTCATATTCATTATCTTCTGCCTGGTCTGACAGAGACTTGGTGGGGTCAAGGGTATGATGCCCAGTCACTGCATGCTGCAGTATCACTGCTTAATTCTCTGCCATTTAGGAGTACAATCACTTTATTTATGCATCCCTAGTCACACCTCCCTGCATGTGACTCACACAGCCTTCCAACACTTCATTCAAAGAGTCATCTAATGTTTACACTTCCTGTATTGCAAATTCCGTTTGATTTAGAAATTCTTATATCCTGCTTTATTAATAGCTTGCCAGACCCTGCAGGAGCCTCTTCTATGTAATAGTTCCATAGTTACATAGCCGAAAAGAGACTTGCGTCCATCAAGTTCAGCCTTCCTCACATTTGTTTTTTTGCTGTTGATCCAAAAAGGGCAAAAAAAAACAGTTTGAAGCATATGAAAGTTAAACTTACAGAGCAGGAGATAAAAACTTTTAAAGTAAGTTACATTTGATTGAAAGTGAAACCATTTTTCTCATGCAGGCTGTGTCAGTCACAGCCAGGGGCAGTGTGGCTATGGCGGCATAAACAGAAACAAAAGTGATTTAACTCCTAAATGGCAGTGAGTTGAGGGGTGACACTTCAGACATGATCTATCCACCAAAACTTCTTAATTCAGCCAAAGTTATTTTTTTGACTATAGTGTCACTTTAATGTTATTTAAATGACACAAGCTACGTATATTATTCACAGTTTTACTGATGAAGATTTATTGATACACACACACTCATGGGCCTTCAGAAACTAAATATGGTAGAATTTATTAGGGATCACATAATCTGCAATTTACTGCAACTTTGTTTGCCCCAGTACACATAACTTTATGCATTTCAGTTGATCCTTAAAGGGAAACTCCAGTGCCAGGAAAACAATCCGTTTTCCTGGCACTGCAGGTCCCCTCTCCCTCACACCCCCCAACCCCTGGTTGCTGAAGGGGTGAAAACCCCTTCAGTAACTTACCAGAGGCAGCGACGATGTCCCACGTCGCTGCTTCATCCTCCGCCGCCACTCCTCCTAGTGATTGCGTCGGCCAGTGGGCGAGACTGATCCCGCCCACCGGCCGGGGAGACCCGATGCGCATGCGTGGCAATGCCGCGCATGCGCATTAGCGCTCCCCATAGGAAAGTATTGAAAATGCATTTCAATGCTTTCCTATGGGGAAATGAGCGACGCTGGAGGTCCTCAAACAGCGTGCGGACGTCCAGCGACGCTCTAGCACAGGTTTCCTGTGCTATGATCCAGGAAGTGCCCTCTAGTGGCTGTCTAGTAGAAAGCCACTAGAGGTGGAGTTAACCCTGCAAGGTAATTATTGCAGTTTATAAAAAAACTGCAATAATTACAGTTGCAGGGTTAAGAGTAGTGGGAGATGGCACCCAGACCACTCCAATGGGCAGAATTGGTCTATGTGCCTGGAGTTTCCCTTTAAATATGTAAAAATGCATCAGGATCATGTGTGTGAAAAGGCATCACTGTAAGGAAGCCAACAGTCCATGCTCAGAACACTGATTAAGTAATGTCCTATAGGCAGAAATGCCCAGGGAAAGCCTTGTATAGCTACAACCATATATAAACACGGCAGTGACATGCACTCTGTAGGGAGCTCTCTCTGATTCTGGATAGAGGAACTAGCACTCAAAATTACGACTATTCAGCCAGATTTGAGACAGTTTGCTGACATACACTGTGCACAACTTGTTTCATAGATAGTTAGTAAATAGCAGTCATAAACAGAATGAAACCAAGAGGGCTGCTCTCACCTGAACATGCATCCTTATAAGGGTGATGCTGGGGACAATTCATACAACATACAAGATCCAGCGAACTCACTCTTTCACTAATTCACTAGTGACTGAGTGAGTGCGCTGTATCTTGTGTATTTTATTCAGCATGTTTGTTTATACGCTGTTTTCTGGACTCGCACCCCTGGCTCTGTATTATGCTGTTTAGCTCTCTGTTTCAGGTGAAATAGAAAATAAGTTAGTTAGTTGCTTGTAAACCAAACATGGCATCCATAACACTCTCTGCCAGGTCATTGGAATGGATCCGATGGAGCTCCGAATGTCTCACTCGAGGTATTTTTCGGTTGATGTTAAAGCAGGGGTGCTAAAAAGATAGATCCCCAGATGTTTTAAAACTACAGCTTCCATGATGCTCTTTCCATAGGCGTGCACACGCCTATGGAGTGAGACCGGCAGGGGAGATAACAGGATCTCCCCTGTCGGCTCATGCTCTCAGCCTCCCTCCCCACCGACCCACAGGCAGGGAGGGAGGCAGGAGAGGACCCGGGGAGCTCTTGCCAGCAGCTCCGCCGGGTTCCTCTTGCGAGATCTGAGCGTTGCCGCGCTCAGATCTCACGAGTGAACTCTAGCCCCGCAGGCTAGAGTTCACTCTCACCATTAGGACCACCAGGGAAGGCAGAAAGGATCCCCCCTCCCTGGCATAAGGCAACAAGGAAGGGGGGGATATTAAGTAATCTGCCCCCACCTCCACTGGACCACCAGGGAAGGCAGCAGCACGGTCCTCCCTCCCTACATAAGGTAAGAAGGGAGGGGGGATATTTATTAACTAATCTGCCCCCACCTCCACCCCAAAAATCACCCAAACATACAGCACACACACAGCACACAAACACACATACAGCACATAAACAGTGCACACACACATACAGCACACACACACATACAGCACACACACACATACAGCACACATACAGCACACACACACATACAGCACACAAACAGCACACACACATACAGCACACACACACAGCACCCACACACATACAGCACACACACACAGCACCCACGCACATACAGCACACACACAGCACACACAGCACCCACACACATACAGCAAACATTACCCCCACACACACAGCATCCTCACACATACAGCACACAAACAGAACACACAGCACCCACACACACAGCACCCACACACACATACAGCACCCACACACACCCTCTCACACACACAGCACACTAACAGTACCCTCACAAACACAAACAGCACCCTCACACAGCACACTAACAGGACCCTAACAAACACACACACAGCACACTACCAGTATCCTCACACACAAACAGCACCCTCACACACAGTACATTAACAGGACCATCACAAGCGCACACACACACACACAAACACCCACATAGCACACTACCAGCACCCTCACACAGTACACACACACACAGCAGTGTATGTGTGTGTATGTAT